ACAGAGGCTGACATTAGCAGATCCCTGGTCCCCTTCTGTGGGAGAGCCCTTCCCACCACCATAATGAGTCAGCCCTGGGTGAATTGTTTTGTTCAGAATGAAAGCTTGTTATTTCAAGTTTGATTAGAATTGTTTCCTGACTGTCTAATCATATTGTGGCCGTTTGATTCCATGGTGGAGGGGCCTGCTTCCAAGATTGGGAGGAGCAACTGTGGGGGCATTAAGTTCCTGATTTCAGAGGTGTCAGGGTCAAATAAAACCAGCGTGAGGAATTTTTGTTCCTCCTATAGTTTTAATAATGACACAATGTAGACTTTTCTCTTCAAAATGTTTAGAAACCCAAACAAAAGAGAAGCAAGGATGGGTTGTGACTGTTTTTTAAATAGTCTTCACATCCCACAAAGGGCCTCAAAGATAATGTTATTGAGAAATGAGCCTTGGTTGCCTAGAAGCTGTCGGCGGGAGAATGGAAACTGATGTTAGCATTCCCATTTCACAGCTTCTGTCCATTGGTGGGTAACAGACAGACATCACTGTCATGGACCCACAGAGAAAAATGTATTGTCTTAGAAAGTTTGAGGACAAGTAGAATATCAGAAAGTGGGGAGGCAGACAGACTGGGAGAGGCTCTTGGTTCTGAAATTCATTTTCAAATAAGGAATATTAAACAGAACATGCAGATCTAGTTCTTCTAGTTTTTATGACCAGAAACTTAAATGCCTGACATGTTCTGGTCCTCAGTACTAGAATCGGGGGCCCTCAGAATCATGAGGTTAAAGGTAATGGTCAAGTCTAATCTTTTGGGGGTTTGAGCTGCCCAAAGCTTTCTTTGCATCTTAGTTTCATTCAGTGCCCTAGAAATTTGATATGGAATGTAAGAATTGTTGACTTTGTTAATATGCCATATTCTCATCTCTCCCAAATTATACTTTGATATTATGGGAACATGATTGTCATCGTCCTCTTCTCCATTTCCATATTTATTTGCCTGAGATAAAAGTTGGTTATGGGGCCTAACTCTAATTTCTCCTATGTGCACAAATTATGTGGATTTTCTCCTATTCCCATCCTTTTGAATTTAATTCTTTAAAAATAATAATACATTTAAAAAATATATTTTATTGATTTTTTACAGAGAGGAAGAGAGAGGGATAGAGAGTTAGAAACATCGATGAGAGAGAAACACCGATCAGCTGCTTCTTGCACACCTCCTACTAGGGATGTGCCCGAAACCAAGGTATATGCCCTTGACTGGAATCGAACCTGGGACCTTTCAGTCCGCAGGCCGACGCTCTATCCACTGAGCCAAACCGGTTAGGGCAATAATAATACATTTTTATTGATTTCTGAGGGAAGGGAGAGGGAGAGATAGAAATATCAATGATGAGAAAGAATCATTGATCAGTTGCCTCATGCACGTTCTCCATTGGGGATGGAGCCCGAAACCCAGGCATGTGCCCTGACTTGAACCATGACCTCCTGGTTCATAGGTCAACACTCAACCACTGATCCACACCGGCCGGCTGAATTTAATTCTTGTGTTGATGTTTTGAACATCTCTTCCATGATTTGGGTGGTGACTAGGTCTTCAAAAGACAAGTATGTGAATACTGTATCTTTCAATATGAATCCTTTGGGAAGTGAAGAGAGCATCTGTGGAGTTCTGAGATGCTCATTTCCCGCCATGTGTAAATCTGAATGCATCAACCAGTCAGTCAGTGGTTCATGTCAGGTGCCTGATTCCCTCCTCCAAGTTCTTTTTACAAAAAAGATAATACTTCAGAATTAAGAAAGTTTACTTAATGGGTTTTATGGATTAGGAACTATGGCAAGGACTTTCCAAAGATTAACTGATTTAATTCTCAGGGCAACTTCATGAAGTGGGTGGCAGTATTCTTTCTTTAAATTATTTTATTTTTCCATTACAGTTAGCATTCGATATTATTTTATACTAGAGGCCCAATGGATGAAATTCGTGCAAGGGCTTGGCCCTCGCAGCCGCGGCTTCATCTGGAAGGTTGTCCACAAGGACGTCTGGAAGGTCGTCCGGCTGTCCGGTCTAATTAGCATATCATGCTTTTATTATTATAGATTAGTTTCAGATATACAGGGTGGCAGTAGTATTTCATAGTATGAGAAGGGACATTGAGGCTCAGGAAGGTGTGTGATTTGCCCAAGTTAGTGGTGGAGTTAGGGTTGGAAGTGAGCTGTTTATTCTTGCTGGTAATCTGTGGCTTTCAGTTTGATTGCCTTTAGGGTTGGGAGGAAGCCACTGGCCCTCAGGTCTGTACAGAAACAACACAGATGCAGTGTCCTTGGATGCCCAGAGGCAACACCCTTAGCAGGCCCAGCTCCCTCACCCCATGGTGTGGAATCTGTGTGTGATGTATGTTTTCTTCTTCCAAAACTGGGATGGCGTTTGGAACAGCAAATATTTAATCAGAGCAAATTCCCCTTGCTAAATCCTGCCAGCTTGTTCAACTCGAGGTTCTTTGCCTAAAAATTCTCACTACTTACTGAAAGCTAAATGACTGAGTCATCCACAGAGCATAAAGCAGGCCTTAGTATTTGGAGCAGGGGGTTGTTTACCTACTTTTATTTTGGATGAAATATGCCATGCCACATACTCACCCTTTGATGAGCCTAAGGGCCTCTGGGAATCAACACGGGAGGGCATTTGTGGGGGATGATTGGATAGGAGCTCATGCCTCCTGGCATCAGCATGCTTCTTAAAATGGATTTTAGAAGAAGGAGAGACGTTGGTTTGAGGCAGGAGGTGGAGAAGAGCCGGAGTCGAAAGATGGGCTGGTGTAGATGAAAGTGTTGCAGGTGGTTGAGGTGTGTGAGAAATTAGCTTTGCTGAGAGAGTGGAAGAGAGAAGGAAGGGAAGAAAAGATTTGAATGAATATTACACAGCAATAAATGCTGTACAAATAAAACAATCAGTCATTATTTATCTGGAATTTAAATTTACCTAGGCATTCTGGCAACCCTACATGTGTGCTACTTTGTTTGATAGCCTGGTCAAAAATACAGTAGTGTCTTTTTATGCATTTACATCTTGCCCTGATCTAAAAAAAATTGCTGACTACAAAACGTTTGATATTTCTTTATGAAATCTTTCATGCATTTTTGCCTGCGGCAGTAGTTTTAAAAAATATGTTTTGTTTAGGGAAAACGTGTTTGAGATTCAGGTATAGTCATGGCTACAGGCCTTTTCTGAGGTGAGGGAATCCAGTCAGAAAGATGACCTCCAATTAAGTTTAGTCTTCCTTTTGTTTATGGGAATCTTAATAGCCGCAGTTATTAGTGTTTCTTTAAGATCTTTCCTGGGGAAGAAACTAAATTATCATGCTTCAATTTTATCTCCAGCTTGTGTCATTTTTTTCCCTCTGTGTTATTTTTTGTCTTGTGAATTACAGCTATACTGTGTTTTCAACTTTTTTTCTGTTCTGAAGAGTGTTCCGCTTTGATGTTGATAATACGTTTTTTAAATCACTGACTAGATCCTTAATGTTCTATGTTCATAGAAATGTACTTCTTGTTCTCGTTATATAAGATTTCGGTTCTGATAATATAAATAGGTTTTACTTTGAAACCTTCTAATGGGGCTAGAATAAACCATTGCCAACATTCATCAGAAGATTAATATGCATAAATAGCTCCAGTGGATCAGGAAAAAACTTAACAGCCAATTCACAAAGAAAAATACAGATGGCCATAAATTTATGAAAAAAAAGTGAACCTTACTAGTAATGAGGAAAATGGACATTGAGACAGGATAGTGTTTTTTACCTTTATTTTATTTTATAAAATAGATTTTTACTGATTTCAGAGAGCAAGGGAGAGGGAAAGAGATACAGAAACATCAATGATGAGAGAGAATCATTGATCGCCCCCACCCCTGCATGCCATGCCCCCTACTGGGGACCCAGCCCGCAATCCGAGCATGTGCCCCTGACCAGAATTGAACCTGGAACTCTTCAGTCTGCAGGCTGACACTCTATCCACTGAGCCACACCGCCTAGGGCTGTTTTTTACCTTTAAATTGGGTGTTCAGGTTGGTAACCTGAGCAGGCTCAGATAGTTCTGGTGGGATATAAACTGGTGCAGACTTTGAAAGTGTGATTTCACTTTATCTCTTCAAAATTTAAAATGTAGATACTACTTGACTCACTGATTCCATTTGTGGATCTGGAGTCTATTTTACATAAATAATGGCACGTGTGCCATGAGGCATGCGCAGCAGTGTTATTGAACCAGTGTTTGTGATAGCAAAACAAGAGCCCGTCCCACCACGATCAGTGTGGGAATGCTTATCAGTTTTAATCTAGCCTTACTCTAAAAGAGAATATGGTGGTTAAAAAGGCGTGCTTGTATGTATTAATAGGGAAAGATCTCCACAGCTTTTTGTTAATTAGGAAAAAAAAGTTACAGAATAATATATATACTCTTTTACTTAATAAAGCTGTTTGTGTGTGTGTGTGTGTGTGTGTGTGTGTGAGAGAGAGAGAGAGAGAGAGAGAGAGAGAGAAATGTATATGGTACTATATAGTGTATGTATGTATGTATGTGTGCTGTGTATAGGTATGGGGTATATATACATAAATATGTACACACATTTATGTATGTAAACTAATAAAAATATTCACTAAATTGTTAACTCTCCTGAGGAGAGGACATTTTGGGGTGGGAATGAAAGAAGTCTCTCACTTTTTTGCTAAACATTTATGCATTTCAAGAAAAATATATCCTTGTATTAAAAATTCTGATGCTGGATTTCCACATTCATTTGGGGAAGTAAAGGCTGAGTGGTACATCATGAGCACTGAATCTTTAAAAAAGGTTCAGAGGAAGCTAAGAAAAAGCCTTTGGAAGAGGGCCTTCTTCCCAGTGTCTGTGCATTTCCACATGGGACTTGGACGTGTAGGCGGAAGGAGCACTTCACAACAGCCCCTTTACCCAGTTCTAACAGGTGACTCTTTTCTCTTTTTCCTCAGATTCCTTTTTACGAAGACATTTGTAAAGGCATTAAAGCTGGTGACACCTGTGAGAAGCTGGTGGGGTATTCTGCGGTGTATAGAGTCTGCTTTGGGATGGCCTGTTTCTTCTTTATCTTCTGCATCCTGACCTTAAATATCAACAACAGCAAAAGCTGCAGAGCCTACATTCACAATGGGCAAGTCTCCAGCATTCGCTTCCCTGGTCTTCTATTCAGAACGTAATCTAGGACCACTTGTAATCGGGGGGCCTCTGACTGTTCTCCCTCCCACTTAAATTGCTGACACTGGTTTGGGGAAGGTGGCACCTAACACTTGTCACCGCACAGTGGCCGAAGAGCTAGGATCCCACTTGTAGCGCTGGTACCATAATGAGAAAGGCGGTGAAGACAAGAGTTAAATTCTTGAACCAAGACCTTTCCCCGGGTCACCTCCACCCCTGCAACAAAATGGTGCTTTGCACAATCAGAGGCCACGCCGAGTCTATCTGATGTTGGGAAGAGGCGGTCTCCAGTCACTTAATTACTTCCCCTTGATTTGGAGAGCACAGTGCCAGTGGCAGAACCATGGCTGGATGTGCTTACCTTCTAAGAGGTCTTTTGTCCTTCACTGAATATCATTTAAATACATTTCCTCTTTTTCTTTTTCTTTTTCTAGCTTTTGGTTCTTCAAGCTCCTGCTTCTGGGGGCCATGTGCTCAGGCGCTTTCTTCATTCCAGACCAGGAGACCTTTCTGAAAGGTACAAATGAGTTTCTGTTCATTACGTTTTTACCCATTTTATAAAGCTGTCAAAAGCACTGTCCAGGGTGCCTTTAATATTTTGAATTACTGACTTTCTTGTGGCTTAAAAAAAAAAATCCTGACCTGCCCACACTTTATCCACTCTCCCTACTCCCTATCCCCCTCCGTTCCCCTCCTCCTTGTTCCTTCCCACTCCCTCCCCTCCTGGCAGGAGGACCTTTAGTTACTCAGCAGGATGAAGAATTAAAATGATAATTGTAAGGTTCTGGGCATGAAGGGAAAATGAAGCACTTAAAATTTGTGTGAAGGTCAGTTTAGTAAGTCAGCCTGACACTACCAGCCATGTTTGAAGAGGCCCTGGGACCTTGTTCTTTCTGAGTGTGGCTCGGAAAAGCCAGGGCTCCGAACACAGGCTTCTTAGCGCTTTAAACCTGCTGCAGCTATAATGGGATGAGAGAGCATCCCCCAGCCCATTCCTAAACTTTCCTTACGTGAAGCTGCATAACACTGGATTGTGTTCCTTATTGATGGAACATCCCAAAAGCAATTTAATACGAAGCCTTTCATCATAGCCCTTATTCATATGAGTTAGTGAGGTCTGAATTTCAGTGGTTCAAGCACTGTTCAACCCACATGAATTCACTTTCCTAGTTAAGATGGTGAAAGTATTCACATTGTATCAGTCCATGGAACAGCTACAGACCCTCAAAGAGTCACCTATGAAGATGGTCCAGCTTTTTCAAGATCACACTAATTTTATGTCCTCCTTAAGAAAATTACATCCACGTCTTATCTTTACCTAAAATGCTGTTAGCTGGTTTTCTCTTCCCCACAGACATTAGAATATTATGTGTTAGAATAATATCTTTAGAACGGGCAGGGACCTAGCATCCTCTAGTCCAGCCCAGTCATTATTATAGACAGGCTGTAACCCAGGGATGTGACATGGCTCGTCCAGTGTTAGGACGCCTTTGTGACAGAGCCCGAAGTAGAATCTGAGTCCGTCGTCCCCAAGTCTGAGCCTCATTTCCTTCCTAGACACTGGTGCCTCCCTATCCAATAAAATTAGAACCCTTGATTTTTCTGGCAATGTGTGTTTTTACTTTTAAGCTGTGGGCCGTGTTGACTTTATGAATTACTACGTCTGTTGGAATATCTGGCAGTTGTCGCATGGAGGTTAAGCTTGGATGCACCAGAGCCAGACTGTCTGTGTTCACATCCGGTGACACCCATTACTGGCTAAGGGACCTTGTCACCTTCAGTAGACTCTCAGTTTTTCTCATCTGTAAAGTGGCCTAATAAGACTACGCTTGTGTGGGAATTAAACGTGTTGCGGGTACAGTGAGCATGTAGTAAAAACGGACGGTAGTCATTACTCTCATTTGAGCGAACACTGGGAACAGTCGTGTCACCTCCTTCTGGGTGGCCTTCTTTTGCAGCCTGGCGCTATGTGGGAGCCATCGGAGCCTTCCTCTTTATAGGCATCCAGCTCATCCTGCTCGTGGAGTTCGCACATAAATGGAACAAGAACTGGTATGTGCCTTTATGGAAAGCTTCCAAGTAAACTCACCCATTGACTCAGACGCTGCCCACAGTACAGCGCTGACAAAGGCTCTCTCTGAGTTCACTGGCAAGGATCAGAGCCTGCCTACCACAGGGACAGTTTTTGCCGGCATTCTCCCTTCTCTCTTGCTCTTTGGATTTGTTCATTTACTTCTCCCCCATACAATTTGTCGATTCTTTCTGTCTTTCCTCCTCCTACTTCATTTCTTTTCACCTTTTGGCTCTTTTTCCCTGCCCTCTCTCATTTGGGCCTTAAGTCAACCAACAGTGTGACTTGGCCACACTCAACCGCATTAGTTGGCACCTCCTGGCGCCAGTTCTGTGGTTGTGTTGAAAACTTGTGCAGGCTTCATCTTAGGCTTCCAACCTTACGAGAGAAAAAAATACTTTGGAGCTAGAGGTTCCCTTTCTGCAAAGAATATGTGATGGAATAGTTTTCTCCTTTAAAAAAAGTTTTTGTTTGTTCACCACTGCGTAAGTGTAGAAGGACCCCTTCATTAGGAAGATGTGTTGTGCTACCTTAGAAAGCCATCCTGCATTTGAAAAACACAGACTCTTTCTATGTGCCTTGAAAGTGGAATTCATATCCCAGGATAAGTGGGAAATGCCAGACTATTAATAACTGGTTTTTATTCTTGCTGAGCTACATTGAGGAAATGGCGGCCAGACAAGGGTCCAGCCCCCTGAGTCCTAAGGCCAAGTTGACTCTTTGTGACTCTGGACAAAGCACGTAGACTCTCTGTCTTACTTTACTTACAAAAGATGAATGACAATTACTGCCATTTGCACCCAGTAAGGCTTTTGTTATTTTGTTGATTTTGTAGGCATCAGATTATTTTATACTTTTTGGGGGGGGCGGGTATTAGAAAGTGTTAAATGAATGTGAATTTTATTTTGGACAAAACAAACTATACTGTCTAAATTCTCTCAAAATACTTTTCATTCTGATTATAGTTCTCAGGTTGGTAGTATTCATTGCCATTTTATTTTGCTACTTTTAAAAGATCAAATCATGAGATGCATGAGTGAAAAGATAGTGTTAATTATTTTATTATTTTTATTTTTAAAGCATGGCTACTTTTTAAAATTTTTATTATGATTTTAGAGACAGAAAGAAAAAAACATTAACTTGTTGTTCCACTTGTTTATGCATTCATTGGTTGATTCTTGTATGTTCCCTGACCGGGGATCAAACCCACAACCTTGGCATATTGGGATAACACTCTAACCAACTGAGCTGCCTGGCCAGGGCAGTCATTTTATTATTTGGGAAATATTGGAGTATGTATCCAAATGCTTATGGCCAGTTTCTAAAATGTTGACAGCACATCTAATAGCTATACAAGTAGCAATACAGATATGTTTTGGTATTTTTCAAGTCTTAATCTCTAAGACAAGAAAAATTTCTAGTTCTGAGAAGTGCTCATATGTAAGTTTGTGCATGCTTTCCTGCTTTTTATTAAAAAAATATTTTTTATTGATCTCAGAGAGTAAGGGAGAGGGAGAGATAGAAACATCAATGATGGGAATCACTGATAGGCTGCCTCCTGCATGCCCCCCACTGGAGATTGAGCCCTTGACTGCCCTTGACTGGAATCGAACCCAGGACCCTTCAGTCCACAGGCCGATGCTCTATCCACTGAGCCAAACCAGCTAGGCATGCTGTCCTGCTTTTTGAGTCATCCCTGAAACCTAGTAGTTTATGTTTGAGGTCTCTACTCCATCTTATTTTGAGGCAGCAAAGTTTTCCTAAAGATAAGTCAAATGAGTGACTATAGTTTTATGTGACCCTAATTTTCTTAGTTGTGCACAATAAATTGAAAATGCATTTTAATTGATTACATGTCACTTTTTCCATGATAAGTCTTACTGTACTTTCACTCTGAATTTATTAGAATGTGTCATTGGAAATTTCTCCTAAAATTTTCACAAATATTCTTCAAATAAGGAACTTCCTGGTAAAATATTAACATCTCTGATACTGAGTACCAGCTTTGCCCACTAAATACTATGTTCTCTTGAGAATACTTGTGCTTCTTCACTTTGATCTTAATGTTTTGATTGATGCTGAAGCCATTTTCTGGGACTGGTTATTGATGCCAACTTCTAACAGGCTTTTTGGAAGAGTTTTGTTGCTTTAAAAACTTTCCAGAAACCACTCGATAAGAATGGCTTAAAAGCTTTGCAACAATGGTGTTGCTGTTGTCCCGGCTTTGAGGCCAATATCCCAACAAAACCCCTTTGTCAACATATTTATAGTTGGTTGGATGGTTTGCCTAAAAAATTAGGATTAAGCTAGGAAGCTCACTAATTTTTATTTTGATGTAAATTCATTTACATAAAAATAGAGGTTTTTTTTTAGAGTTTCTGCTTTGTTTTTAAACAGTCTCTTGCTTACAAGGTTAGTCTAGAGAATAGACTACTCATATCACTCTTCATGGAGCAACTAAAGTCCTTTCCCCTTCGCTTTCTTTTCGTAAAGATGTTGAGAAGGAGAAGGCCGCGAAGGCAGTGGGAGAGAGAGGTCATGGCCTGGAAACCAGGAGAGTGCGGATTGTAAAGCCCCTCGCTCTCTGGCTTTTCACTGTAGGCAGGTCTCTTGGCCTCTGTGACCTTAGTTTGCACACTTGTAAAATGATGTGTTTGGACTAGATGTTTAGTGTGTTTTTGTTCTTTTGTTAAAAGATAAACTGAGGCATATTAAAAACGTTTTAGAGTTTATTTGAGCAGAAAATTGATTTGAATTGGCAAACATCCAGGCTAGCAGATAGAAAGGAGCTCCAAGGAGCTGTGCAGAATGAGACCATTATAAGCAGAAGGGAGCAGGAACAAGGAAGTTACACAAGGGAGAGTGGGTGGGTTACTGTAGGGCCACCTCCTCTGGGGATGGCAGGGTCTCTCAGGCAGATTCCCTAATAGTGCTAACCGGGTGCTTCCTGATGGACTGGTTTAAGGTTCTTATTTCTGGGAGAGCCACACTGTAATTAGGTGTCTTGGTTTGGTGTCTTAGCATAAAGCACTTCATTTGGGGCCTTGTTTTTAGTAATTCCTAGCTGAAATTTTGTGGATAGAAGGGTCAATTCTGTATCAAAACTGAAATAAAAAGTAGATGGTATATTCAGGTATTTCTGACAAAGACCCATTTTCTATATTTTCAATTTATGTTGTTTAGTTTACTGACCCAACCCCAACCCCAAGCCTGAGCCCAGCTAACTCCCCACCTGGTACCTGCTTGCTGCTGTGACCGTGCCCTCGGCTCTGCTGCCTGGTCCTGTTCTCATCTCAGTGCTCCTCATTTAGCGTTGATTCACAAGAAATGTGACTGCGTGGCAGCACCAACACTGTAAAGATAAGTCACTGCACTTATTAGAGGTGTTTGTGAAAACAAGATGTCATCAGGGGGACCCACTGGATCTGGAGCCGCATCACTCTGCTAACATTGCTGCATAGTTATTTTTAGCATCAACGGGCCTTGCACCAAGTGCCTGCTGTTTGCCAGCCCCTCCACAGGAGAACAGCAGTGAACACAACCTGTAACCTGTGGAGCTTACGTTCCTCTGGAGGGGAGGAGAGATAATCAACTTGATTAATCAAGCAAATAAGTAATGGGTTCCATGGTGAAAAGTGCTCTGGAGAAAAAGAAAGCGGGTGTGGGAGCGGGGAGAGCGGGGCAGGGGAAGGCTTCCTGATGAGGTGTGAGGGAGATGAAGGAAGCGGGGAGAGCCCGGGCAAGACTGCTGAGCCCTTGCTGTGCTTGTTTAAGGAGCAAAGGAGTGTCCACTGTGGCTGGACTCTAGTGGTGAGGGAGGGAAGGGTGTCAGAGATGAAGTCTCAGTTGGCACTAGGCCAGGTCATGTAGGGCTTCTGGGGCCACTGTAGGCACAGAAGGGGACTGGCCCTGGCCGGGTGGCTCAGTTGGTTGTAGTGTTACCCTGTACACTGAAAGGTTGTGGGTTCCATCCCCAGTCAGGGAGTGTACAGGAGGCAACTGATTGAGGTTTCTCTTCACATCAATGTTTCTCTCTAAAATCAATAAAAACATATCCTCCAATGAGGATAAAAAATAAAGAAAATAGAAGGGCACTGGAGGGACATAATCTAATGTAATCTAAAGATTAGAGGGAGTTGGAGGTGTAAATAAGGCGGCCAGTGGGAGATAATCCAGGGCAGAGCTGAGGTAGCTTGGAGCCAGATGTTAGCAGCAGTCAGATTCTGACATTCTGAGGTTGAAACTAGCAGAATTTGCTGCTGGTGATGGCATGGCGGTAGGGGAGTGGAGAGCAGCAGGGAGAGAAAGACAGAGCCACTGCAGTTCTTTCCTTTAACACCTCCCATCCCCCCTCCGCCCCCTCCCCATCCCCCCCCCCCCACACACACAAGGGGTAGAATGGACTTGCCATTTTCTTTTTCTTTTTTTTAAAATATATTTTATTGATTTTTTACAGAGAGGAAGGGAGAGGGATAGAGAGCTAGAAACATCAATGAGAGAGAAACATCGATCAGCTGCCTCCTACACACTCCCCACTGGGGATGTGCCCACAACCAAGGTACATGCCCTTGACCGGAATCGAACCTGGGACCCTTGAGTCCGCAGGCTGATGCTCTATCCACTGAGCCAAACTGGTCAGGGCTGGACTTGCCATTTTCTGAGGTTGGCAAGATCAAATAAGAGCAGGTTTAGGGGTGGAGGTCTGAACATTGGGAAGTTACTCTGGACCTGTTAAGTTGGACGTGCTGATTAGACTTCCAAGTGAAGACACAGAACAGTTGGATATTATGTTGAGAGGAGAGGTTAGGGTTGAAGATTAAACTGGAAATTAAGCATAAATTAACTGTAAGAAAGTCCTTCCTATATTAAGAATATAATCCAGAGGCTAGTGAAGAAACCCTTGGGCCCCACCCACACACTTGTCAGCAGTGCTGACCTTTTTCTGCATAATTCATCCTCTCCGTGTGTCACTCATTACTATTTGGCTCTTAGATTTTTCTTTTTTCTTCTCTTCTCGAGTCTCATTTTTCTCTTCCTTTCCTTTGCGTGTCTTTTATGTTAGAATAGTTTTGTGGTCACTGGAATGCCTGGCTCCGTTTCAGGAATATAATGGTCATCGTCATTTTGGCCTTTCCCTCCCTATTTTCTTTGTCTCTGGCTGCAGTAAGTTTTTCATCATGAAAACATTTTAGCTGGGTTGCTTGAACACTTTCCAGTTTTGCAAAACCTGTAAGCAAGTTGCTTTCTCTGAAGGTTTGTGAGAATGTGCTTACAAAGGGCAGTGTAATCCGAAGGCAGATGACAGTGATTCAAGCCATTCTTCCTGTTGCTCCGTCCTCCTCATTTAGCGTTTTTAAACACGCCCTTTTCTTTGTTCCGAACAATTTCTCTAGCTTGTTAAACCACCACTAATGTCTCCCATCCCTTTATTAATAGTTGTAAACTAGAAAGCACATTAATCTCCTCTTTTAGATTCTTCACTGTACATCCCCTTAAACTGTTTACTCTTTCTCTGCCTGATTTTATTCTCCCCTTTCGTTTAGTGTCATATTTCCCCTTGATCACACTTGGCATTGCTGTGGGGAAGAACTATTACAGAGTCTGCCTTTCAGAGCGAGATAACAGAGCTGCGGTCTTTCTCTGAGAGAAGTTAATTCGCTCCTCTCCCTGAAGACTAGATGGGCGTCAGCAGGAGCTGCTGGCAGCGCTGGAGTGAGCACCATGGCACCTCCAGTCTCTAGGTTTATAGGGGCGACGGGAAGTGAGCTCCAGCAGAGAGCCACTTTGTAATAATACTGCCCAAACCTGTCCCAGGGTAATTCACATTCAGAAAGCCTGTGGATAGTCATTATAGTTGATGGATACACTTGAGTCAAAAACAGAATTCTTTCAGTATTTAGAACACATTCTCAGCTTGAACCAAGAAGTTTTTGCATATTTACCTGTACCTTCTCGCTTTGATGTGGCATAATCATTGGCAGAATGATAGGTCTCCTGGACAACTCGGTTCTGATGGGCTTGGGGCTGGACAGCATTAGTTAATGGTACTAGTAAATGCAGGTCAGTAGTGGCCGGTACTGACTTGTCTTCTCTCCTGTCCCTCTCACCCACTTCCTGGACAAATAGGACCGCAGGAACCACTCACAACAAGCTGTGGTACGCCGCTCTGTCCCTGGTGACCCTCATCATGTACTCCATCGCCGCTGGAGGCTTGATTTTGATGGCAGTGTTTTATACACAGAAAGATGGTTGCATGGAGAACAAAATTCTCCTGGGAGTAAACGGAGGCCTGTGTGTACTGATTTCATTGGTCGCCATCTCACCCTGTGTCCAAAATCGTAAGCACAATTTTTTCTATTCTTCCTTATTTATAGTATAATGTCTTTTAGCAAACCCAATAATAATAATTTAAAAAAACATCATTCCTTAATGTACCGTGCATGGATCAGCAATAGGAAAGGTGGGACTCCAGTCTCCTCTTCATGCTCCACATGGGCTGAATGTGACCATCAAGCATGGCTTATGTCAAGAAAGATCTAAACATAGTGAATCCAATAAAATAAGGAGATAGATTTTACCATCCTATATAATAAAGAGATGATATGCAAATTGACTGTCACACCCTCGCACAAGATGGCCACCCCCATGTGGTCACAAGATGACCAGCAGGAGAGGGCAGTTGTGGGCGATCAGGCCAGCGGGGGAGGGCAGTTGGGGGCGACCAGGCCGGCAGGGGAGCAGTTAGGTGTCGATCAGGCTGTCAGGGGAGTGGTTAGGGGGCAATCAGGCTGGCAGGCAGAAGCGATTAGAGGCAATCAGGCAGAGGCAGGCAGGCAGGTGAGCTATTGGGAGCCAGCAGTCCCGGATTGTGAGGGGGATGTCCGACTGCCTGTTTAGGCCCACAGGGATTGGGCCTAAACCGGCAGTCGGACATCTCCCTAAGGGGTCCCAGATTGGAGAGGGTGCAGGCTGGGCTGAGGGCCACCCCTCACCCAGTGCATGAATTTCATGCACCGGGCCTCTAGTTATTAAATAGAGTACTACAAGGAGCCTTTAAATGGAAATGTCCTTATTGTATATTGAGCTCTTCACTATATTCTCTTTGTAAAACTTGAATGAGAAGGCTCCAGAAAGAGCTGTTTCTGGGCTCATTTTTCTCTCAAGGCCGGCCACCAGGGACAGTGTGGTTAGGAAGCAGGAAATCCGATCTCCGCTTACCTAGCAGCTGGCCTCATGAGCTGTCTTCATCAGACTCAAGTCCTTTCTCAGCAAAGCCAACAGAAACCTGTGAGCCTGACCTTGCTCATGGTTGTTTCAAAGCCAAAAGGAAGAGACATGGAATTTGAAAGTACTTTAGAAAGTATAGGCATCAATTGTCTTTTTTAAATGACTTCTGATATCTTAAGCCAGTGTGTTGTCTTTGGTTATAGATAGAATTGTCCTTGGTTTCAAGTTTCCTGTAGGTGTCTTACTCTACAGGTGATAAAAAAAATCACATGACATTTAGGTTTCGAGCTAGGAAAAGGAAAATATGGCCAATAAATTTATAGCCCCTTGAAACCTTTCTAAAATGGTGAGTTAAAAGGAGCTGATGTTGAATAATATAAAAGCTTTTCTGTACTAAAAATTTCAAGTCCATTATTGAAATTGAGAGTATTATTCTTTCAAATCACTTTAATTGGTCAGTTAAGAATTTCCTAAAACATTATTAGTATTCAGATTAAAATATCCTTTGGGTAAAATCCCACCTTTTGAAATAGTTATAATATTTTGAATATTTAGTTTAATGCCATTAATTGTTAAGGTAAATCTTATTCCTTTGCCAAAAGAGCATCATTATTAACAGGTATGTCCCTATACCTTTATTGGCCATTGTAATTTAATAAATATAATTCTGGAAACAAATTTAACCAGAGAGAAGAATGGATAAAACTAAATGTTTTCATGCCAGCAGGTGGTTGAAAATTTCACCAAGAAAATATAAGTCACTTTTACCACATCCTGGTTACTCTCAATGATATAAACACTAAGTTTAATTTAAATGCTGTAACATTAAAGCCCTCCTCCCAGGGAATGCTGAGCCCCATAACCTTCCTCTTTGGCCTGGACCAACTCTGGTATTCCTAAAGGTTGTTTTTTTTTAATTAAATATATTTTTTATTGATTTTAGAGAGGAAAGGCAAGGGAGAGAGAGATAGAAACATCAATGATGAGAGAGAATCATTGACCGGCTGCCTCCTGCACGCCCCCTACTAGGGATCCAGCCTGCAGCCAGGCATGTGCCCTGGATCAGAATCAAACCCAGGCCCCTTCAGTTCCCAGGCCGATGCTCTATCCACTGAGCCAACTCAGCTAGGTCCCAAAGGTTTTTATTCACTGATGAATAAGAGCTTTTTTCCACTGTCATGGACTGTAAGTGTCCGCTGTCCTTGTAGAATCAGGAGTCCATGGCCTATGAAATCTATCATTTACCTGTCTAAGCCATGTGAGTTCAGAAATAATGATGGTAAGTGTTCTTCTGAGATCTTGTGATATAAGAACTAATGTTGCCCTAGCTGGGTTGCTTGTGGTTAGAGCATTAATCAGTCTGTGGACTGAAGGGTCCCAGCCTCAATCCCCTGCCTTAGTCGGGGCACGTGTGGGAGGCAACCAATCGAAGTGCCTCACTCACATCAATATTTCTCTCTCTGCATCTCTCCCCCTCCCTTCCACTCTCTCTAAAAAAATATATAAATAAATAAAAAATAAATCAATGGATAGAATAACCTCGGGTGAGGATAACAACAAGAAATTTTTTTTAAAAAAAGAACTTAATGTTATGAACTTCAGGGGTACCAGGTAGTATGTTTAAGTACAGCTGTAGTTATAAAAATAAGGTGTTGGTAGAGAACTTGGCAGAGCTTGGCACCTTGAAAATAGCAGCTAACTCCCTCCCCCCAAAATCTTTTGTTACCTGACAAACACATTATGTACCTCTTCTTTCCTTTAAAGGCAGGGCCCAAGTTTGAGGAATCATTTTCATTTGGAGGGTGGGGAAATCTTTTATATATATATATTTTTAAGAAGGTGCTCTATTATTGTTGAAATTTAAAACACTGTCTTAAACTCTGTCTCTTGTCATTTTCCAGGGCAGCCCCACTCCGGGTTACTGCAGTCGGGGCTCATAAGCTGCTATGTCACGTATCTCACCTTCTCAGCTCTGTCCAGCAAACCTGTAAAAGAGGGTAAGTTGACCTTGTTAGGGAGCATGTGTTTGTGGCACGAATATTTTCATTTGTGGAGGAAGCAATGTGTCTCTGTGAGCTATTGTTTAAATATCAGGGATGCAGTAAATCAAGAGGAGCCTGTGTTCCTTCAAGAGTGGTGTTGAAGGCCGAGTTGCAGATGCCGGAAGTTGAACCCGGGTCTCATACATGCCAGGCACGTGCTCTTCCACTGAGCTATTCCCCCTCACTCGAAATAAATCAAAATAGAGAAATGATTAAGACTTTTTCAATAAACAAAGACCTTAAGGTGGGTTATGAAGATGAAACTTTATTCTTTCTAGTCTTCCTGCTGTGTAGGAGAGACATGTACAAAGGTGGACTGTTGAGTTTGCTTTTAGGCCTAATCTGCATTTCTCTGCATTGTTTTTAAGGGATGTTTTTATTTTTCTTTGTTTATTTTGTTGTTGTTTTTTTTTAGTTGGGTATTACTTTTCTTCAGATAGTCATTTCTCTGACTGAAACAAATAGTGGAAAAAACATGGAAGTGGGAAGCAAGAAACAGGAAGAGATTTGAGCCCAGCTGCACCGTTTGCTGGTTGTGTGACCTTGAATTGCTCATCTTAAATAACACTTATTTATAGAGACAACAGAGCATGCATGAGCTTTAGAGTTGGACTGCCTGATAGCCTGGTGCTGCCACTTAAGTAACTTGTACAAAGTTACTTACCTTTCTCTGCCTAGACACCTTGCCTTTAAAATAAGAATTTTAATATAACAAGACACTTAAATAAGATTACTACTTTATAAGGTGATTTTTAAGAATTCAGTTTCTCAAACATAGTTGGTACTATATAAGGATAAGCTAGTTTCGTAGTTGCAATGATTATTTGAGAACTATCAAAGTATTATATTATATTATACTAGAGGCCCAGTGCATGAAATTCATGCACGGGGGGGGGGGGGCGGAGGGAGGATTCCCTCAGCCCGGATTGCAAGAGGGTACAGGCCAGGCGAGGGACCCCACTGGTGCACAATCGGGGCCAGGGAGAGAGGTTGGCCAGCCAGGGAGGGACTGCGGGAGGGCTCCAGCGTGTGTCTGGCCCGTCCCGCTCAGTCCTGATCGGCCGGACCCCAGCAGCAAGCTCACCTACCAGTTGGAGCATCTGCCCCCTGGTGGTCAGTACACATCATAGCGACTGGTCGACCAGTTGACTGTCTGCCCCCTAGTGGTCAGTGCACATCATAGCGAGCAGTTGAGTGGCCTTAGCATATCATTAGCATATTACGCTTTGATTGGTTGAATGGCCGACCGGACGACTGGACACTTAGCATATTAGGCTTTTATTATATAGGACTAGAGGCCCAGTGCACGAAATTCATGCACAGGGGTGGGGGTCCCTCAGCCCGGCCTGCACCCTCTCTAATCTGGGATGCCTTGGGGGGATGTCCGACTGCCGGATGTGGCCTAAACCGGCAGTCAGACATCCCTCTCACAATCCGGGACCTCTGACTCCTAACCACTTGCCTGCCTGCTTCATCGCCCCTAACTGCTTCTGCTTGCTGGCCTGATCGCCCCCTAACTGCCCCCCTGCCAGCCTGGTCACCCCTAACTGGCCCCCTGCTGGTTTGGTCGCACCCTAACTGTTCCCCTGCCAGCCTGGTCGCCACCTAACTGCCCCCCTGCTGGCCTGGTCACCCCTTAACTGCTCCCCTACCAGCCTGATTGCCCCTAACTGCCTCTGCCTCAGCCCCCGCCACCGTGGCTTTGTCCAGAAGGATGTCTAATTAGAATATTACGCTTTTATTACTATAGATTATATTGTATTGTGTTGTATTATATCACTGCACCTCACCTCACATCACAGTTGGTGGCAGTCGGCCGGGGCTTCCCTCCCTTCCCCTGGCCGGCCCCGCCCCGTGGTCAAAACTCCCAGAAGAACTCCCAGTTGAGGGGACAATTTGCATATTACACTTTTATTATATAGGATTATATTATAAAGTGTAATTGTATAAGCCCCTGAGTCTTGCCAGTAAAAAACAAAATTGAAAGTCTTTTTTAAAATTTTATGTAGAAAGCAAAGGCAAAGATAATTTGAAAGGTTTAGCATATGCACGTACTATGTATGTGTCTTGTTTTTATAGCTATTTATAGTGTGAAGTGATATAATTATAGGCCTTATATAAAGTATAGTCTACCCTGGGTATAATTTTTTTTAAATATGTTTTTATTGAATTCAGAGAGGAAGGAAGAGGGAGAGAGAGATAGAAACATCAATGATGAGAGAGAATCATTGATTGGCTGCCTCCTGTACGCCTCCTACTGGGGATTGAGCCCGCAGCCCAGGCATGTGCCCTTGACCAGAATCGAACCCAGGACCTTTCAGTCCGAAGTCCGACGCTCTTGGATATAATTTTTTTTAAACAAAGTTCTATTTTGACTAAGTTTATTTAAACCTGGTCTCTTTAGGGCTTTATAACTATATATTAATCTCTGGTTTTAACTTATTGGGGTTTTAGTTAACATAGTTTTCTTTTTAATGGCAGGTATCACTTAAAAACAAAAAAACCACAACTTTTATTTTTAATTTCAGGTGGTACTACTTAAATAGCAAAGTTCATATTTGGTCAGTTTTTAAGAAAACATTTTTCACTGGCCTAAGAATAAAGATTCCTTTAACCACAGCATACACAGTTATGTTTCCTGTTCAAGTGTGAGTACTAGTAATAATTTTAGTCCAACTTCAAACGCTTAGAATGTACGTTTGTAAAATGGTTTCTGTCCCTTAGGGGACAGAGTTGGCAGTCAGACCTAGATTGGGTGTTCAAAATTGAAGACTGTGTTAGACAAAAAATAAACTACCACCGATGGTAATACTACAGAAATCTTTGTTATGTAGCCTCTCAAAATATTTTTAAAATCCAGGCAACCTCAGTAGGTTCCCAGGTTACAGCCTGAAAGAGGTCACAGCCATCCTGTTACTGGCAGTAAAATGACTTGTCATCTGGGGGAAGTTGTGGGCAGATAGCTGTTATCTGATACTCAGTTGGTAGTTGAATGCCCTTATCACACCTCCAGAGAGAGTGATCAATTATCTGTACATTATTTCTGTTCAGCGGCTGCCAAATAAACTGAAAAATGAACCTAAGTTGCCCTGGTGGGTGTTTCTCAGTGGTTAGAAAGTCGCCCCAAGCACCAAAGGGTGAGGGGTTTGATTCCAGTCAAGGACACATACCTGGGTTGCAGGTTTGATCCCTGGCCCGTGTGGGAGACAACCAATCGATGATGTGTCTCTCTCACATTAATGTTTCTCTTTCTTTCTCTGTCTTATCCCCTTTCTCCATTTCACTCTCTCTGAAAATCAATGGAAAAAAAGATCTTTGAGTGAGGATTAATGACAACAACAAAAAGAATCTAAGTGTACTGTGTAATATTTGAATAGTGGTGAAAAAGAGCAAGGCTCTTGCAAAGGTCGTGAACTGAAGAGCCCTTTAGAATCGGGGGTCCTGTGTGCAGAGGTGTGAGGTGGGAGAGGGGTGCTTTGAAATAGCCACAGTCTAGCCTGAGTCGAGTTGTACTATAGAGTAGAAGTTCCCAGTGGTAAGTCTTGACTCTTCTAAGCTACCTGAATTTTCCCCAAATGAGTGAGTGAGTTACAGCAGGTTTTTCTGATTTCACTGTGGTTACTTTGTTTTTCCTTTGCAAGATCCGGGTGCACATGGGAAGAACGTTACGATCTGTGTGCCTGACTTTGGTCAGGACCTGTACAGAGACGAAAACTTGGTGACTGGACTGGGTACCACTCTCTTGTTTGCGTGCATCTTATATTCATGGTAAGTTTTAGGATTGCCTGAGCTCATCTTCACAGACTTTTAATGTGCAGGAGAAGAATTTAAATAAGTTTTAGCAGCTGCGAGGCAGCAAAACAAATGCCTTCTGAGGAAGAAGGAGAATAGAAATAATAGGTGTTTGGACTTCATTTGTCTTATATTTATAGGGAATAAATAAAATCAGGATGTGATACGTTGCAACCCTTTAAAAGACGATTGAATATTACTTGCTAAAGCATTACTGGACGGCAAGTGAACACAAAGTGAGGTATGCACCAGGATGTTTGGGGAACTTTCTAATCCAAGGGAAATACCATTTGTTCTTTTGTTGATGCAAAACACAAAGCACTACGTACACGGTCATTTTGTGCCTTGTCTAGGAAAGACAGGAAGTACCCCCCTTTTCTTTTTATGCTAAAACCCACAGTCCCATTAAGGAGTCCGGAACTCCCCAAAAGTAGGTGTGATACGTAAGCAGGCTGCATTTCACATGCTTACGGTGAGGGTTCTTAGACCTTTAAAATGTTTAAAAGATTGCTAGAGAGAGAAAAGTAAGGGCTAGAAATGGTTCGTTTCTTATTCTGGATAGATGTTTCACTGATAATTACATTCCCCTTTGACAGTAACCTTTTCATGTTTAGGTTTTACTTCTGTGTTCTATTGGATATGTTTCAGTATATAAACATTTCAACTTGTCCTGGGCGCATTATAATCTTCCTTTGGCTGAAATGAAATGATGCTGATGGTGATACCTTGTGTAAATAAAACATCTTTCTGGGCAAGTTGGCATTTTCTCTTATAGCTTCTACCACCCCCTAATGTTAGAAAGGGACCAAGTACTTGCTTGTGTTGCAGGTAGTGGTGACATTGGTGCTCACTCTGTCTTTGCCGTGGTGACAGTCTCCTCGTTGCACCAGGAGGGGCCATGGTGTTAGTACACCCAGCCCCAGGGAAAAGCCCCAGGACTGAAAATCAATCTGTAAACAGAGGGCAGAGGAGGAGGCTGGCCTCTCCAGTCTGGTAATTAGCAGGGTTTTTTGAGGAAAACTGACGTCCGAGGCGTGTCGTGGGTGGTTGTAGGACCAAATGGATCCCTGTGCCTCTAGGCAGGTGCCAAAGGATTATTTAGGGTAAAGGGGGGATGGTGCTCCAACACTGTCAGGCACGGGAATTACTTTACGTGCTTGACCAGGTCAGGACAACAACCTGTTCCAGGACCAGCACGTAGCAGGAGTCAAGGGAGGCTGCGAAGTTATGTCAGATGAACATTAGTTATTATCAGACCTTCTCTAAGCGGGGTTTGCAGAACCTCTGTTCTGGCCCAGGTCTAGCTTGCCAAGCAGACAGCGGCTGTCATGGAACAGCCTCTCCTGCACACCTGGTGACCAGTTTCTGGCCTTTTATTTTTAATGATGACACGATTGTTCACTGAGTACTACTTATAAACAGAAATAGATAGGATTCGGGCCCAAATCAATGAATGTTTTCAGAAAAAAACATAAAGGCGCCCAAGTTTTGAATCCTGATTCTCAGCTCTTCCTTCTTTTGAGCAAGCCTTTTCTTCCCGAGTCTGTTATTGTTGGGCTTTCGGGGAAAAGGGCAGCAACATGGCTAATTTCATTGGTCTCTCAAATGTTTTTTCTGAATTGGCCTATTAAAAACACTGCTAAGTCAAGTGAGGATAAAGTAGGTTACTAAACTATAAATACAGAGTATTCCATTTTAAAAATAAAATATAGTTGTGTTTATGTATATAGAAAAAAAATCAGGAAGGAAAGGAACCAAATTTGTAATGGTGGTGACTTTTTTTTTTTCAGTAATCTTCACCCAAAAATATATATTTTTTCCCATTGCTTTTTCATAGAGTGGAAGGGACGGGGGCGGGGGGGGGGGGGGGGGGGGCGGAGAGAGAGAGAGAGAGAGAGAGAGAGAGAGAGAGAGAGAGAAGAGAGAGAACTGGGGACAAACCTGCAACCCAGGTATGTGCCCTTGACCTGAATCGAACCCACAACCCTTCCTTGTGCGGGCTGACGTTGTACCACTGAATCATACTGGCCAGGGTTATGATTTATTTTTATTCTTGTTATCAGAAAAAAAAAAACTGTAAAGAACTTTGAAAGATTAAAATCATATGTTTTTGTGGGTTGCTAGATACCTAAAAAAATGTTTGCCCCTTAGGTAAGGCAGGGCTTGGATTTGCTTTAAACCTATCAATGGAAAGATGGCAAAAATTCTACTTAGTGCTGATAGAATTGCCACAAATGGTGTCATTTTGCAGCATGGACTTTTTACCCTATCAGATTTTCACCGCCACCCTTGAATGAGTGATGCTAAATAAAACATCACTTCTTCCGGACCTCAGAGGCACCATGGTGGAGGTTGGTATGGTCTGGGGACTCTGGTCTGATAGTCCCCAAAAGATAACAACGTTCAAAGCTGACAGCTGCTACTTAAAGTCTGTCTAAATGCCAATAGCAAATGTTAATCGAATGCTAGTAATTAAACTGCAAAACCATAGTGCTGGATGGAAGAGGAGGTGGGAAACAGCAGCCACACACCAAGCCGAGGGCAGGGTAACCAGGTGGCGCCCGGGGTGTGTGTAACACACTGTGAAGCTCCACAGAGGGGGGGGGAGGGGGGGTGTGGTGTGTGTGTGTGTGTGTGGGGAGATCAATGTTTGCTCAGTCGTCACTGCCGGGAAGTGAGTTCAGGCCTAGTGAGTAGAGCGGTGAATAAAGGGAATTCCTGGGGGGGGGGGGGGGGGGGGCGGCCAATCAGGAGATCAGGAGGTTTTCAAATCACGGCTTCTAGAGTTTATGTTTTCTTCCCAGACTCAGAGGAATGAAAGTTTGGAAGATGTTACAAAAAGAGGTTGGGTGGAAACTGTCATTTGCACACGATTGCAGGAATTTCTAGAAATGATAGAATCTGTAGGAAGCTAAAAGACTAGGTGGTGTGTATGCACATTAAAGGGAGAAGAAATCACCCATTTTCAATGAAAATCCAGGATTGCTGGGCTGACTTTTCCATAAGGTCATAGAAGGCTCACTGTGCTGTCTTCTTACCTATTCATGTATAGGAGTCCCCCCTACACACGCGTTCCACCGCCCCCCCCCCCCCCCCCACACACACCACTTTAGGGGCTCTCATGATGACTTCTATCCTCAGTTCCTGGTTCTCTGTTCCAAGTCCTGCTGCTGACACACTCGCTGTGAGTGTGTTTTGCTCTTTTGTGGTCTCAGCTTGAAGAAGGGCTCAGCCCAAACTCACTCCCTGGCTTTCTGACTGAGGCCACCCTTTCTCCAGACCCCCTTCTGCTGCCTCCAGGCATCACTGTGAGGAGGAAGTGTCACAGCTTGGACCCCATGCAGGAGCGCCCCAATGGCTCATTCTATAGGCCGGTCCCCCCACACCCTCCTCGGCCTGGCTCCTTGTGACAGGCCCTGGCTTCCCCCAGCTATTCCTTAATTCCCTCCTTGGCCTCTAGATTTTGAGAGTATTCTTCTGTTGGTTTCAAGTTCAAGCTGTCAGACTGGATAGGATTCTGGAGTCAATCGAGTTCAATCCCCTCACTGTACCTAAAAGAAAATGGGTATGGAGCCTATTCCTACAGCTCTGCACCCCCGATTTCAGGACACCTCTCCTTGAGTCTCTTTTGCTGGGCTATTTGGAGAGACGGGTCAGAACTTTTCCCCTTGTGTTGGCTTGGAGTAAGGTCCATTCTTCACTCTGGTAGAAAGATAAGCTAGATGACTCACATAATTACATTATCAGGAGGCACTTGTGTTGTGAAACATTACCCAGCTACTTCAAATTCCTAGACAGCTTACACAAGAAAGGATTATATTTTCTCTTAAGCATAACAAAAACTGGATATAAAGTTATAAAAGCTAAGAAATAATCTTTATTAAATTTCCAACTGGCTAGTTGAAAATGGGACATTCACAGCCATGTTGCATACTGTGTGAACACAGATACAAGGTTGGTAAGTTGGCATTAGAGAGATTGGCTTAAAAAGAGAAAAATTGGTGAATCAAGGAGGGCTATCTATTCTCGTGTGTTCTGGGCCTGATACTCTGCTTTAAGAGAAAGGGAGGGGGTGTATCTTACTTTGGGAATCCTCCACTTGCCAGCCAGCCAGCTAGAAATTCCCATGTTCTGCACCGGGACCTGCTGAGCCCTGCCCCACGCTCCCCAAGGACTCTGGTCTCCTTTGGGAGCTGTGCGTCACCATTTACACAGCAGCAGGAACATAATTGAATTCACCACACAAAGGCTGGGAACGGCCATGGGACCTCTCAAAGGCCTGCCCTGCAAGTGTGTGAGGGAATCAGAATCTGTGGTATCCCATAGGAAAGTCTGCACATGGTTTTTGTGATTTTCTGTAATCTGGGGGCATTTGGCCAGTGCCAGAAGCACCTGTGTTTGAATCTCTTTGTCACTGTGGGCAGGGCAGTGGTTCCTGGGCAAAGGTACAGAGAGGCATCTTATCTTTTTGGTTGTGACGATGCCTGAAAGCCACTGCTGGCTTTTTGTGACGGGGACCAGGCACAGTGGCCATATGTTAGTCTCCTGCGCCCCCCACAGGGAGTCCTGGTTAACACCACTCACATTTTAGGTCTAGGAGATAAGAGATTATGGATAATCCGGGAATTATTTTACAATAGTTTGTCTTGCGCTGACCAAACAGATGGGTCAATAACAGCCAGAATGCAGACAGTAAGAATTTTCTATGTTTTGTAAGAGCTTGTAAAAACAATATTTTCTTAATAATTCCAAGAAGAGTGTTTTGTGGGGAAAGGCCACTACTGAATAAAGACCTTATTGTACAGTAACATCTGCTTGTAGACGTCACACATCACAATGAACTGAATATAGGTACTTCAAGAAGGATAAAAAGTTCCCCTTTCAGTGCTGATGGTGGAAGTGAAGCCGCAAAAGTGCCAGAATCAAAGCTTTGTTTTTCTGAAACCATCTATTGCAAAGAATTTATAAAATGAATATATATTCTACACTCTTTAAAGAATATCATCTTTTAGACGAAAATTCCAGATACTGACCTGTTCCTAAAATTGAAAGTTATATTTATCCCCATGGAAACTGTATACTATCTTAAATCATAATTCAAAGGCACAAAATATAGCACACTTAAATGCAGGAGCAAGGTGTAAATTTCCTGGGTGCACAGCCATTGGAATGTTTCTGTCATTCCTCTACCCAGGCTCAGAGTCAGGAAGTGGGAGTAGAGTGGGCCTCAATTAGCATCCATCTGTTCAAAGCAGAAATGAAAGTGATGCTATTGGTCTTCACTGGACCACAAAAGAAGCAGTAGCTTGGATCCCAGAGGACCTTTTTATGACTAAGGCTTTTTATTGTTTACTAGAAGCCCAGTGCATGAATTCGTGCACATTGAAAAGAAATTAATTAGAAGAAATATTTTAGAGGCCAGGGAGGGACTGCAGGAGGTTGGCTCCAGGGCATGTCCAGCCCATCTCGCCCAGTCCCCATCGGGGCTGATCAGGGCCGGCTTGCTGGGGAGGGACCGCGGGAGGGCTCCAGGGCGTGTCTGGCCCATTTCACCCAGTCCCATTTGGCCAGACCCCAGCAGCAAGCTAACCTACTGGTCAGAGCATCTGCCCCCTGATGGTCAGTGTGCATCATAGCAACTGGTCAAGTGGTTGACCAAACAGTCGACAAAACGGTCGACCAATCAGTTGGACACTTAGCATATTAGGCTTTTATATATATAGATTTGCATCTCATTGATCTCTTCTCTCCTTGGGAAAGAGGATGAGAATGAGCAGAGAAGGCAGTGTTTCCTCATGAGGTTTATTTGGTTGAAAAGAACCTGCTAATTCCTGCCTCTACTAGGCAACACTCCCCAATCTGTCACCCTCCCACACACATACCACTCTACCTGCCTCCAGATTAGCACCGAAGCTGCATTAAGGGCAGGGATTTCACTGAGTCCCCAGTGCTTAGAATAGGGCCTGACACGTGGCAGGCCTTCAGTAAATATTTGCTAAGCAAATTTATACAGTTAAATGGAACCCTAAAGTATAATTTGCTTAAAATGTCCCCCCCCCCTTTTCCCCTAGGGAAAATAAATACTTTTTTTACTCCTGTAAGTAAAATTTTATAACATTTTGCCTCTCAAGGTATGGGGAAAGTGGCAACTAGTTAGTCTATATTGAATTTTTTTTAAAAAATCACACCCACAACTAGTTAGTCTATATTGAATTTCTAAACAGAAAACCTTGTTCTGCCATAGGCTGATTACCACAGTAAGTAATGTGACCTTTGTTTTTCATGCCCTGGATTTTTATTGCCATCTCTGGGTTCCTCTGTTGCTTTTGATCCCTTCTAAGTGAGAATGGTCAAAGGGAGGGGAATGATAAAAGTGAAATCAGAAAATTATTTTGGCAGTTAAGGGAAGAGAGGCAAAAACCAAGATAATGAGACCAAAAGACATCTTATTTTTCTTTACAAACTTCTCTTTGCACAAAATGATCTAATGCGATTCATGTCAACAACATTAGCTATAGAATCGGTCAGCCAGTTTTGGAATACAGTGGGTATTTAAATAGACTACATTTATCTAAGTGGGGAGGACTGTGGGTGTCGTGAGTCTCTCACTGGACATTGTCCAGCGGCCCTGCCCTTCCTCTGATGGGACATAGCACGTCCATGTGCTCTGCTGACCTTTCTGTTTGTTTCCTAGTTTGACATCGACAACGAGATCGAGTTCCGATGCTCTGCAGGGGCGCCATGCAGCTCCCGAACTGGAAGTAAGTTCCTTTCCTTTTCCTGTCCTGCTTTTCTCAGAAGACCCACTTCCCAGGAAGGCTTTGTATGTTTATTTGTATCTTTATTGATCTGCATTCCATGATCCCAAGAAGACAGTTTTTATTCATAAAGAAATATCCTATATATACTATGGGATTAAAATCCTTGATTTTCCTCCAACAAGATTGGCCTCTTGTGTGGCATCCTGCTGCCCACCTCCCACCAGAGGCCGGGGTGGCTTTGTCAAGCTGTTCTTTGTTCTTCTGTCATAATGGAATGTGTGTGGTTTTCTACAATTTCTAGTCCATTCCTCTGTTTTATACCTGCCTGTGCCCTCCATACATAGCACAACTGTGAGGCTATGTAACAGCTGTTCCGAAGGAGGAGAGAACGATGGAGAAGGGGAGGAGCAGCATCTGCTGTATGCCACACGGCTGAGCATTGTCTGCACATTAGCTTATTTAAGGGTGTCAGTTCCATCAGGTGGGCATTTCACTGGGTAAAGAATTGTGAACAATAGGTGTCCAAGGAATCATACTGGTCGGCAGATGCCAGTGGTCAGCAGAGTGTATTTTATTACAGTGGAACATCCAGGGTTTAAAAAGGTCTAACCAGATGGAGGCAGCCAGGAAACAATTCAGCCCTGACCCCAAGAATGGAAAGTCCAGTGATAGCTAAGACTTGTGGCACTTGCTATGTTCCAGGCACTGTGCTAGGCGCTACATATGTCATTTCATTTTATCCTCATAAAAACCCAATGAGGGTTTTCTCTCCTTTTGCAAAGTCATTTAAACTTTTGATTTGCCAGCATGTAACCATGAGCCTGTGTTCCTAACCACCACTGATAACCAAGAGCTCAGCTGCTGCTCCTGGCCTGGCTGGGCTGGGAACCCTGCCTGGCATCCCGCCCTGGCTGCATCCTAATAGCTTTCCCTGGATTTAAGAGCCCTGGCTTATCTGATGGGCGCTTCCTTCTGCAGCTGCGTCTCTGGGGATGGTCTCTCCGGCACCTGACCTGGAGAGAGGGAACCGTTGTGAAGGCTTGTCAGTCTGCCAGCATGATTCCCCAGCTCTTTCTGTCACTTAAAAAAGAGACTGAATAAGAGAATGAATAAGGAGACTGAATAAGAGAATGGTCTCTGGAAGGCAGGCGTTTGTTCTCACCACCGACTGGGTGACCACCTGCTGGGGTGGTACCTTATGGTTTCAATATCCCTATCGTGCACAGAGTTAATGTGCAAAGAACAGCGAGTCTCTAAGTACGATTTGAGAGAGGATGTTTTTCTTTTTCCGAGGAAAATGTCCGGTGTTTCCTCCGGAAATGGGGAGCATGCAGGATGGGTTTGCTCCCCTTGCATCACGTTTCACAGGGTGCTCCTTTGAAAGAGAGTTCGTTTCTTGTGGTAACTGAAGCTTCTGAAGAACTGGGATCCCAGCACACCATGTCTTGGGCCCCCTGAATGAATTAGTGAGTCTTTGTGCCACTCGATGCAAGATTCTGTCAAGGCCAGTCCCTCTATTACAAGTTCCCTTGATGTAGGAGGGAAGCAGGGACGTGGCCGTGAGGTGGATAAATGGGGCGAAGGCCTAGGCTCCCATGTCCTTGTCCTTGGCTCTGTTCTTTGTAGTAAAGATATTATCAGCCGGAGTGTCCAGGACCCAGCACTTCCCAGACCTCCTTGGTACTTGTGTTTCTTATCTGTTTACGAGCGTACTTCTGAAGTCATGTAGTTATTGTTCATAACCTGATATTTTTAAAATTAAGTTTATTATGTTGAGTAAGTTAGAAACGTGGTACGAAATTTGAAAGATACCAAAGGCTCTTCAAAGGGAAGTATCCCACCCATCCCTGTCCCCCACACCCCCGTGCCATTTGAGCGGCCTGATTTTTACAGGAAGTGTAGGTAGGCCTCCTGCTTCCAGATCCCTTCGTGTTACCATCGCTGATTCTCTTGGCTCCATCACTTCCTAGATGTCACATGCTACTGGTTGCCTCTTGTGAGTCATGGGCCTTGGAGTTCTCATCCCGCACTCATGTCCCAGCTCCTTTCACTAAGCTAGTTGCCTGACCTCAGTCTCTTCAACTGTAAATGGGAATATCATCCCAGCCTCAGAGGTTGGAGAGGGTGTAATGAAGTAGCGAGTAGAGCAAAGCACCAGGAGTGAGCTCCATGAGAGCCGGGACCTTGTCTCATTCACTTTGTGTTTCAGGTTGAGTTTTTCAGAGGCAGCTGCCCAGGTAGTTTGATGAGCAGGAGATATATTAGTAAAAGGAAAGTGAGAAAAGAAAGGGAAGAGGCAGAGTGGACCGAGGGTGATGTTGAAGGGCGCCGCAGGCCGGACACATCTTTGCTGACCCCCAACAAGTGCTCCAGGGAAGATGTGGCCTATCGGGCCTGACCCCAGGGGTCAGTGGCTGCTCCCTTTCCCCCCTGCTGTGGGATTCATTCCTGTGGCTTGTCCAGGAAGGGCTTGCCCTCAGGCAGGGTGACTGCTGGGGCAAAGCCTGGGAGCTGCAGTGTAGACTGTCTGACACAGCAGGCGCAGGAACTGAGTGTGTCCTTTGAAGGCAGCTCCCCTCCGTCCATTGTATTTCCCATCACCAGCACCCGGAGGATCTGGGAAGAGCAGGTGCTTCGTTAACACCTCCCGAAGGGGTAAAGTGTGCAGTTCCAGGCCTGGGATATAATTCAGACGGGGGCAGCGTGGTCGTAAGTGCTTTACTGGTGTGGGGAGTGGAGAGCAAGTCACCTGACTGTTGGTTTTGCTCTCTCAGGTAGCTCGGTGTTGCTTTTGCTTCGGTCCCTATGGAGAAGGTGAGTAGAGAACTTGCCCTCTATGCATCTGTGTGGCCCTGCAGACCTGTCGCTCTAGTCTGTAGGCATTTGGGATTCACGTACAAATAACTGAATGGTAAGGGGAAACTTTTTTCCACAGACAGTTTACCGTGTACATACTTTTCATACTCTCCCCAAAGGGTTGTGAGGTTTTCTTGGTTTGTTTCGCTATTCTGGCAGGCAAGAAATCAGTCTAATATTTTGGCTCATATTTAAGTTATACAGTGAGATTTAGAGAAGCAGAAAGTACATTTTTTAAAGGAATGAAAATTTGGAAAATACCAAGAGGTCCTGACACCATAATTTGGACCATTCTTTTCCTCAACTTAACTTTTCTTCTTGAATTGGAGGATCCCAGGGGCTTGAGGAGTTCTCTACTCTTTCTCACTTTCTTCTGAGCTTATAATAAGTTTTGTGTTTTAATGGCTTTTTTCCCCTGCTCTATTAAATAGGGCAGCTCAGTTGGTTAGTGCGTGGTCCCTACTAGTATATGCCAAGGTTGTGGGTTCAATCCCTGGTCAGGGCACATACAAGAATCAACCAGTGAGTGCATAAATAAGTAGAAAAACGAATTGATGTTTCTCTCTCTCCCTCTTTCTCTCGCTCTCTCAAATCAATAAAAATAAATAAACTTGACTTGATCCCTCAATAAGATTTAAAATAAATAAATAAAATATATGGGATGTTAGGTAACTCATCCTGTTCAGGAAGGTTCTGGGGTAGGGTAGGGGGTTTGTGCTTTTGGCATAGATGAAAATGCCTTAAGGTACAAGTGGCTTTTGGCATCTTTCCTATGGAACAGCCCCTGGGTTGAAGCGAGTGTGTCTTTGCTAAAGCGGTCAGTGTGCATGTGTTCACTCATTGAGCTGGTGCTGGCTTTGTGGTTCACAGACACTGAAGACCCGCAGAATATGAAAGAGGGGCCGGGCGTCATTTATGACGAGAAGAGAAGCACCGTCTACAGCTATTCCTATTTCCACGGAGTCTTCTTTTTGGCTTCCCTCTATGTGATGATGACCGTCACCAACTGGTTCAAGTGAGTGGCCCGCCTTCGTAGGGGTTTTAGAAGGGGCAGTCTTTATAAAAGCAAGGTGAGTCCTGTTCCATATGGTGCTGAGGCACAGAGCAGATCTCCAGAGTCAGCTAAATGGTTTTCCAAGTCAAGCTGTGCTCACCTTTACCGAAACAGTTCAATTTAGTCTAGTGGCATACTTTTAACCCTGGGAATTGCCAAGGCTTACTGCAACTTCAAAAAAAAAAAAAAAAAAAAAGGAAGGTTAACTGCATATGGGTAGTCTTGAAGAACATGGTAATGGAGGAAGCACTTGGAATTCTTAAGTAATCATCTGCTTTTTAAAAATTGTATTAAATTTATTGTGGTGACATTGGGTGATAAGATTATAGTTTTCAAGTGTGCAGTTCCATAATACATCATCTGTATACATTCTCTGCATTGTGTATTTATCCCTTTTCTGCTTTGTATTTTGTCCTTTTTTTCTTCACACTTTGATGACAAAAGTTTAAAACAGCTTTTAAAAAAACTAATATGGAAATATAAAAAGTAACAGTGACTCCCTCCCCCAACCACTGCTAACAATATGGTATATCTTTTATTTTTTATATGCATTTACAATTTTTTAACATAAATATGATTACACATATTACCCCCCCCCCCCTTGAGGTTTTTTGTTTTGTTTGTTTTTTATTAACCTGGCGGTATAGGATACACCTGACTTTCCCTGTCACAACATAGAGACTCTTTTCCCTGTCACAACATACAGATTCTTTTTGCATTATTCTTTAATCCAAACTTTATGTTGGATACGAATGTGATATAAATTAGGATACACATAGGCTAGACATTTAGGCTTATTGTGCTTTCTTTCTATTCATTCCGCACACATTTGAGTGGCTCCTACGTGCCACACTGTTCTGGGTGGCAGGGCTTAGATTCTAATGGGGGGAGACCGTGAACCTAACCAGATACAGTGTGTCAGATTGTGGTGAGTGTTGGGGTGAAAAATGAAATGAGGAAGAGGAATGAGGAGTACCTTGTGGGGTTGGGGGTGGTGGGTGGTGGCTTCAAACAGAGTGATAATCTTCCCAAACATCTTCCTGAGGGAGAAGATAGGGAGGGAGCTTCTGATGCTGCCCCGTGATCCTTTGAAAATTCCTGAGAATTTCTGGCTTGGGAAACTGAAGAAGAAAATGGAGGGAGCTGTGATCAATTAGGCAGATAGTAAGTGTTGAGGATGTGGGGAACTTGGAACCCTCCTGCACTCCTGGGAGGACTGTAAAATGGTGCAGCTGCTTTGGAAAACAGTTTGGCAGTTCCTCAAAATGTTAAACATAGAGTTAGGACATGATCTGGCAATTCTACTCCCAAATATTACATCCAAGTGAAGATGAGGCACGTTTATGGCCACACAAAATCTTGTACACGGGGTGCACAGAGGCAGCATTGCTAATAACCAACAAGAGGAAACAACCCAAATGCCCATCAGCTGATGATGGGTAAACAAAACGTGCCGCATGCAGACAATGGAATACTACTCTGCAATAAAAGGGCGTACAGTACCAACACTGCTACAGCAGGGATACGCCTTGAAAACATTGTGCTGAGTGGAAAAAGCAGTCCCAAGAGGCCACGTGATTCCATATGAAAATGAAAATGTCCCAAATAGGCAAATCCATAAAGACCAAAAGTAGATGAGTGACTTCTGGGGGCAGGAAGAGGGGAGGAAATGGGCGGGCAGCTATGGGTGCAGGTTTTCTTTTTGGGGCGATGAGAATGTTCTAAAGTTGACCATGGTGGCAGTTCCACAAGTCTGTGCACATGAAAGTCCTTGAGTTGCAGGCTTTAAGTGGGTGTGAATTATATAAGAATTCAGTTAGGAAAACAAGAAAGGCTGGAGGGGGCAAAAGCAGGGAGACACTTGGTAGAAGAGGCCTTCTCCCACGGGTTCTCCTCCTACGCTGACCACGATGGCTCTCTCGTTCCCACAGCTATGAAAGTGCCTACATTGAAACCTTCTTCAGCGGGAGCCCGTCCATCTTCTGGGTCAAGATGGCCTCCTGCTGGGTGTGCGTGCTGCTGTACCTGTGGACGCTGGTGGCGCCCCTCTGCTGTCCTTCTCGGCAGTTCTATGTGTGAGGCCTGCAGCTGGAAGGGACGTCCTTTGAGCAAGCGTCCCAGGGGTCTGAGCGCTGACTGGCGCTTTTCGAAAAGCTGGCTTCCCCTGGCTTTCAGGGGAGGAAAAAATCACCTGATAAGCTTTTTAATTCTGAAATTCGAAAAGAAACTACCAAGTTATCCCGAAAGAATTGAAAATTTTAACCAAGTTGATCCTGAGTGATGCTGTGTTTTGTATGTGTCTTACCCCTAAAAACTGGGGTGGTGGTTAGGCTAATACTTTTCTTCTGCACGTTTTTACCAAAACAGTTTGGAGTATGACACCTCACAGGGGTAGAAATTTACCTTGTGTGGCCTGTCATTCTTATCCTTGGAATAGAAAACATGCCAAAAGCTTGAGCCTTCTGCCCCTGACAGAATGCAGACCCCTGTGCACACCTGGGCCCGCGGGACCCCGCACACAGCCCCCTGGTATTTATAGGGCACAAGAGGCAGCACCTGCTTTTAGCTCCACTTGTGCTGCTTCCTCCGGGCCCCCAGACGTTTCCCTTGGAAGTTGTGATGCTGGGAATCACATCTGCCGTTGTCCTGTCGCCCTTCCTCGAGGTCCCCTCATCCTTTCTGGGTTCAGTATCTTTGTTATGTGACAAAGCACAATTTGCTATCACCACCTGTGGAGCCAACACCCCCCCCCCCCCCCCCCCCCCCCGTATTATCACTACCTGATCGGAGTCACTGCAATAATTACGACTCTTATTTGTGGAGTTATTCACATGATTATAGAACAATATTCATGTTGTTTTCTTTGTCTGAACGATGGAGAGCTATGGTCTTACTTGTTCGTGCTATTAACAGTAATAATACTGTAGAGCCTTACCTGGAAGGTTGCTTCCTGGCTGAAGCCTGCTGCGCCCCTTTCAGTGTTAAGGTCAGCCCCCCAGTTTCTCTTCCACCTTGAGGCCTTTGAAATGTTAGAGACGGAGGGCTTTTGATTTCCAGATGTGTAAGGGGGCCACACCATTAATGGCCACTGTGGGGTTTTGCAGTAGATTTGCTGAGGTGGGGATCACAGGCAGCACCTTGACAGGGCTGACCAGATAAGCCGGTTAAACAAGTAGAAGTGACAAAATATACTTAGAAGGAAAGGTGGACGGACGGTGGGGCTTTTTAATGGAGCCGTCACCAGCATCCACAGAAAGTTCTAAAACACATACTTGTAAGCTAATCCTCAGGAGATACTGGACGTCGGGCAGCTGCCCAAGAAGATGTCCATTTTGGGTGCTGATGTTCTCGGTCAGGAAGAGAGTTTACTTGGTGGAAAGTCTGTTAGAGACCCCAGTGGAGACACCTCGGGGTGTCCTGTTAGCGTCTCGTGCAGGATGGAAGGACTCCTCAAACTCCCCAGCAGAGAAGGTCTGAGATGGAAAAGCTGGTCTGTGCCCCACTGTATGAGTTGGGCAGAATTGGGTCCCACGTCAGCTGGGCTCCAGTGTGCCAAAAAGCTGGCTTTGGGAATTAGCCAAATACTTCATTCCTACTTTTTTGCCCTCCTCCCAGGAAAACAAATACAACTATTGATTCTTCTGGGAACTTGCCTTATTGACAGTGTCTGAGATGCAGTTTTAAAAGGCACTTGTGTGTGAGAAAGAGCCTTTTGTTAGGCAGGAGCTCTTTGTGCTCAGCAGTTGAAAGATGATCTGGAGCCACAAAATGAAGAGCTGCCAGGGGCAGCCTACCCCGTGGGAGTGGAGCGCTGGGAGTGGGGACCGGTTGAGGGAGTGGGGCTGTGTGTGTAGCAGCAGCTTCCTGGTTGCTGCGGTGGCCAGTGCAGTGACCAAGGGCTCGGAGGAAGGGAGATTGGCTTTAGGAAAGACCACAGGAGGAGGCGGATCAAGAGCTGGGGTTGTATCAGTAACTAGCTTTGTTAGGTTTTCTTCCTGCTAGTTGGGTCTGGTAGCCAGCTATGTGACTTTGGAACTGGTCCTTACAGCAAGTCAAGGTCAGGCTGACAGAGTCGAGTATTGGCTGGCCTTTGTCGCCCCCGCCCCCTCCCCTGCAGAAAGATGCTCAGGGAAACACAAAAGGAAGGCCATTGCCAATGGCAGGGCCCTGGGCACTTCCTTCCTTAGCTTGCCCAGCCAACCCACGGTTTCCAGATGCTTAAGACTTGGTTTGTGGCCTGTAGTTCCTTTCTGAAATTTGGTCTGACACAAGAGGCATAATTACAGTCATCTGGTTTTTTGTTCTCAACTGAAAATTTAAGCAAGTGTATTTGAATGATCAAGAGAGATGTGGATGTACTCTGAGAACTGTGGGCATATAAATTAAGTTGACTTTCATGATTATTCATTGTAATAAACAATACTCAGGTGATGAGTCAACATTCAAATATAGGTTTAAAGAAGCCTATGTTTTTGTGCTATCGTGATTTAAGAAACTGGAAAAATTTTGCCAATTGCTTTGAATTGCTGTAACAATGGTGTTCATTTGGTAAATTCTTTTTTAACTAATAGACTTTTGCTTCCTACAACTTTTTGTACATAATTTAAAAAGTGCATCCCTAGAAGCTGCTGGTCAGATTCCTTTAGTGATGAAAGCCCAAAAAGTTTTAAAAACTCTGTTTCCTCTGTGCTATTCATCCAATGTGGGACATTTCCCCTTCATTTCCATGAGTAAAAAGACGGAGCGGGGGAGGGGCTCTTTTGCGAGTGTTGCTGTATATCCAGACATGTCACCTGACTGAATGCCAGAGACTTTTCTATCAAAGCTTTCGGACACCCTACTTTGTCCTTACTGGGTCTTGCTTTTGTCTTGGTTTTATTCTCACAGTTTCTTGGGAAATGGCTTGAAGGAATTGGTTGCCAGAGATATTTGGAGCTCCTTGGTGGTGTAATGGACTGTGTTCCTGTGGCTGTGGGAGAGTGAGGTTACTGGGGACCTGGGCCCTGGTGCCCGTCAGGAATGGCCAGCAGGGGGGCTCCCACACCAAAGTGTTTCGTTTTAGTTCCTCAGAAGTTTCTTCATTATGGGTGACCTCTATTTAGTGCTAGTTCCACCCACCCATTTGTCACCCTCTGCCTTTTTAATATGGCTTTGAAAAATTATGTGTTGCCCCAGCTGGTTTGGCTCAGTGGATAGAATGTTAGCTCACGGACTGAAGAGTCCCAGGTTTGATTCTGGTCAAGGTCACATACCTCGGTTGCAGGCTCAATACCTGGCCCTGGTCGGGGCATGTGCGAGAGGCAACCAATTGATGTATCTTTCACATCGATGTGTCTCTGTCTCTGTCTCTCCTCCCCTCCACTCTCTCTAAAAATCAATGGAAAAATATCCTCTATGAGGATTAACAAAAAAATTTAAATTATGTGCTTAATTTTGGCCAGAAGTTTACTACCATTGGTGCTTCATATTACCTATAAAAAGGGAATTCAGAGCCTGCATTTAAGCTACCTGGGCTTTTTTCTCCCTTGACTGCCTTTCTGAATAGCCTCTCAGTTTGCTGTGCATGCGTGTCCTGCCCCTCTTGGAAAGGAAAGAGGGTTTATCCTGAAACTAAGAAGGGGTGCCCTTGGGCTAAGACCCTGTTTGCACAGAGAGAACATTGGGCCTTCTTTCTTCAACCAGGGACAGTGCAGTAGCCATGCGGTTCTCTGTAGGACATCCTTCTTAATTTCCAATAGCACGAACTCCCTATGGCTTTGTTCTTAAGGCCATCGTGTTTCCTGCCATCTTTAATACAGTTGTAAAGACTCAGACGTTTTATTTTTTACTTTTTAAAAATATTTTTTTATTGATTTCAGAGAGGAAGGGGGAGAGAGAGAGAGAGAGAGAGAAAGAGAGAGAGAGAAACATCAATGATGAGAATAATCTATCAGCTGCCTCCTGCATGTCCCCTACTGTGGATCGAGCCTTCAACCCGGGCATGTGCCCTGACCAAACCATGACCTTCTGGTTCATAGGTCAGCGCTCAACCATACCGGCTGGGCAAGACTCAGACGTTTTAATACAGTGTTGCATTTCAGGCAGAGATGGGCTCTCTAAGGTTAGATCTACTTAATTTGGTCGGAGAGCTATTTATTTACACAGATCTTCGGAACTAATGCTCGACATTTTCAAGATCTTTCTCTTTTTTCTTCCTCAGTAAATCATTTGTAGAGATGTTCATTTTACCGAAGAGGCATCTTTTGTTTTGTTTTAAAGTAAAATTCTTTCAGCAAGATCTTAATTGGGGAAGGGTGGATTAAGAATACATATATCCAAATTCACTTCTATAGGAGTTTAATGATATATATGTGAGTAAAGTTATGGAAGAATTCTTGAAGGTAATCCTTTGGTGTGAAGGATCCTGGGAAATCCTCTCAGGTAAGGAAAGCAGATGTGTAATATATGTCTTGAGAGCTATTTATAAGAAATTTAAGAGGATTGTTTTGTTTTCATTAATTAAAGACTTAAGGTTTTTTTTTTTACTTTACAAAGAAAATTCTACAAAAATTTTATAGTCATAACTTTGTTAATTTTTTAAACTTTTCTGAAATAATTAGCTGTAGCCAAATTATGTGGTTTTGTTTTACAGTATTAGAATTTTAAAAATGTAATATATGTGGTAAATCTACTCTGAAATTTATAATGGTCTCAGATATGATTAGAGTTTTGGTAACTTTTAAATATTTCCCCCCTCTAGTCACAAAGGCAACTATGGATTTATATTTGTTTTTTGAATGCTAATTTTTCTATGAAGCGTCTGAAGTTGACCAGTCTTTTCCTATGTAGAAAACTCAAAACTTGTTAACTCTGTACTTTAATAAAATTTAAAACTGAAAACCATATTGTTTTTTCTCCCTTCTGTTGGACACGTTTATAATTAAAGTCTTGCAAGTTGTGTTTTCCAAGATGTTGCCTTCAAATGTTAATCGTAGAGGGGAAGGGAGGAGGAGAGAGACAGAGAGAGAAACATTGATGTGAGAGAGACACATCAATTGGTTGCCTCCCACACGGGCCCCGACCAGGGCTGGGGATCAAGCCTGACTGGAATCAAGCCCAGGATTCTTCAATCTGAGGGTGGGCTGACACTCTATCCACTGAGCCAAACTGACTGGGGCAGTGGTCGGCAAACCGCGGCTCGAGAGCCACATGCGGCTCTTTAGCCCATTGAGTGTGGCTCTTCCACAAAATACCACGTGCGGGCGCGCACGTACAGTGCGAAGTTGTAAGTAAAGTTTATTAAGTTAATTTTAGAGAACGTCGTGGAGTAAAAGAAGATGTAGTGTCGAGGATTGAGAAAGGTATGTTGAGATGGTTTGGACATATAGAGAAGATGAACGAAAGGAGATAGACGAAACAAGTATACAAGACGAGTGTGGATGGGAGAGTTGGAAGGGGTCGACAATTGGGCTCTCAGAAGAAATTTCAATCGTTGTACTGTTGATATTTGGCTCTGTTGACTAATGAGTTTGCCGACCACTGGGCTAGGGCAATCAACTCACTCTCTCTCTCTCTCTCTCTCTCTCTCTCTCTCTCTTAAAATATATTTTATTGATTTTTTACAGAGAGGAAGTGAGAGGGATAGAGAGTTGGAAACATCGATCACCTGCCTCCTGCACGCCCCCTGCTGGGGATGTGCCTGCAACCAAGGTACATGCCCTTGACCAGAATCGAACCCGGGACCCCTCAGTCCACAGGGGATGCTCTATCGCTGAGCCAAACCGGTCAGGGCAATCAACTCTCTCTTAAGCTTCTTAGAGTCTGTTATGTTCTCGAGAACAAAAATACATGGAAACCCAAGCTTTTTAGCTTCTCCGTGGCTGAAAGCCCCATGGCCTGCTTCCTTCTTCATATGCTTATGCTAGTGACACACTGTCTTAAATATGAGAATTAGGGTAAGTCTTTAAAGAAGGTAATGTGTGCCCTCCAATGTGGTTCTTTTTAAATATTTGGGTATTCTGGGTCTTCTGCATTTCCCTTTAACATTTAGAATTAGAGCATGGCCAGTGTGGCTCAGTGGTTGGGCATTGACCTGGGGCATATACCCAGGTAGTAGGCTTGATCCATAATGTGGGGGTGTGCAAGAGGCAGCCGATCAATGGTTCTCTGTCATCATTGATGTTTCTATCATTCTCTCCCTCTCCCTTCTCTGAAATCAATTACACACACACACACACACACACACACACACACACACACACACTAAAGTTTAAAATTAGATTTAACTTGTCCATTCTTCGATTGGAATGCCATTGAGTCAGATCAGTTTGGGAAGAGTTGCCATCATAGCAACAGTAAGTCTTCTAATTTACGATTACAGCTTTCATGTATATAGATCTTTTAAATTTTCTTTAGTAGTATTGTATATCACTCCTGTTTTTATTAATCTTGATACTTCTAATCCTCATTTTTATGAGATTAGTTTCCTGAGTTTTTTGTGTTTCACTAACAAAATTTATCATCTCAACTGTTTAAAGTGTGCAGTCAGTAGGGTTAGGTACAGCCACATTGTTGTGCGATCAATCTCCAGAACTGTTTCCATCTTTTGAAACAGACTGTATCCATGAAACAGCAGTCTCTCCTTTTCCTCTCCCACTAGCTCCTGGAAACTACCATCCTTCTTTTTGTCTCTGAATTTGTCATCTGCTCAATTTTTCCCTGTTTCTTCCCTGATAGATGCTGACACTGTTGGCTTTGCATGTTTCATTCATCCCAGATGTACTTTGGGATTCACCACTTTTTTGTGGTAAATGTTGTCCATGGGTTTTGGGTCGTGTTCTTATGTGGGGATTCAGGAAGATCCATTCACTCTTGAGTTGAACTGCAATAAGGCTTTCTCACACACCTTTTCTCAGACACTGATTTTTAGGGTCATTGGTAACCTCCATGTTGCTGAATTCATTGTCCTCATCTTATTAGGACTCGACATGGTTAACTCAATTACAAACCTTATTCAGATTTAACTGATTTTTACATTCACTCATCCCCACATTTGAAAGTGATTATAGTAGTTATTCTGTTTCTGTTCACATTGCACTTAAAATCATGGGATTTTTTAGTTCTCAAGTCTCTGCTCCCACAAAACCACACCCCAGGAATCACCCCAGGAACATCATCCATCCATGACTGGACCTGACTTAGTTCTTAGCTCCTCCTTTTGGGTCATACTAACTTATTCCATAAGCAGCTGAATAGTTCAGCCTGCTCCCCACTCACAAATGGTTGGGAGCCCAGTGACTTCAGTTTAAACTATGATTTCAGTGCAAGCTGGTTGTGTTTCTGTTCAGTTCTCTTAACAACATTGTTTTCTGTGAATCTTCACTATGTTAACTAAAAACCATCCCCACCAGTCTTTTCCAGGTACAGCACCCCTCCACTTTGGACTACAGGGCAGAGCGTGATATACCCATATTCTTGCACAAGCCCTTTGCTCTATTGTCTACCTGACAAGATTAGAAGGCACACTTTTAAGAGACACACTTTTAAGATTCTTAGAAACCTTTTTCCAGCCAGGAGTACATGAGAAGCATTTTCTGAGATCTTTTTTTTTTCTTCAATATATTTTCTTGATTTTTTACAGAGAGAAAGGGAGAGGGATAGAGAGTTAGAAACATCGATGAGAGAGAAACATCGATCAGCTGCCTCCTGCATACCCCCCACTGGGGATGTGCCCGCAACCAAGATACACGCCCTTGACCAGAATCGAACACGGGACCCTTGAGTCTGCAGGCTGACACTCTATCCACTGAGCTAAATCGGTCAGGCCATTTTCTGAGATCTTAACAAGGGGCTTTATCTTGACCCTGAGGTCATATATATATAACTTGTTATTTAATCCAATATACCCAAATTATTATTTTAACCTCTGAGGTCACATTTTACTTGTGGCATCTTAGAAATTATAAGTAGCTAATAATAAAAGTGTTGTTGAAAAATACTTCATTGAGTGTTTCAGATGTTAAATAAAATTAATTTAAAAAACTACAGGGTGTCCCAAAAATATATATATACAGACTTTAATAGCTGATAATAATTTTCATTCCTTTTCAGGCTTAACTGATTTGAAATAATGGGTGAAGCCAGACTAAGCTTTGAACAAAGAAAATTTGTCTACTAGTCTTTTTTATGGGGATACATAAAAGATAAAGTTTAAGGTACAAAAATGGCAACAGTTGACGAACAAAATTATTCTTGACGTTTATGAATCCATTGCTTGGCATTATCAGCAGTGCCTGGACCAGGACAGTCATCAGTTTGAAAACAGGCATTGACAAAAAAAATTACTCATTTCTGTAGATTCTTTTTAATTTCAAAAATGAACTGTATGTTAATAAACATTGTCTTTATAATCATTCAAGATGTGTATACATTTTTTGGAGAATATATGTATACATATATAGTGCAATCCAAATCCTGTGTGTATAAAGCATTACAGAAAAAGTTGTTCAGATAGTTGTTATAATGGTAAGACTTTATTCAAGACTATTGCAATGGGGGTTTTGCGATAGGGCAGAGAACTTAGGTTCAACTCTGAATACAAGGACAAGTGGGGATTTTTAGCCAGTGAGCAGAAGGAGGGGATCCAGTGGGAGACATCAGGGTAAGGGGATTCTTGCTAAAAGTAGGTCAAGGATTTTTACATCCAAGGTGGGGGGTGAAGAACTTGATCAGATTTCAAGGGTGGAGGCACTCTTGCTAAGTTTGGCTATATGGGCACGGTGAGGACAGATGGCCACGGAAGGCCAAGGTCAAGGTGGAGTCAAGAAGAGGGCTCAGAGGAGCCTGACTGAAGTTTGGTCAAGGAGAGAGTCTTGCTCAGAACATACACCTTGACCACTCAGAAAATGTGCCCGTGTTCACCTCCTGTTTTGTCTCCACAGCAGTGCCCCCACCCTGCTATCTCCTCCCCCCCCCCCCCGCCCCCATATTTTTAGAATTGTTCTCAAGGTTATAGCAGGAGCAGCTATGTTTTCATTGACCCAGGAGAGGACTTTCCATCTAAGCTGGCCAACCAGCCTCTCTGGAATTTGGACTTGGAACTGACAGTGCAGCTTTAGACTGGCTGTTAACTTGAACCAAGGAGTCGGGAAACTTGAAAGATGTTGTTAGTGACTATTTTAGGCATTATGGAAAAACCAATTTGCCGGAAGACAGAGGATTAAGGCGGTTGTGCAGTTGTGAGAGTGGGGCACAGAGAGAAAAAAAGAATGGATTTCTTAAGGTGATCCAGTCCCCAGTGCTATTACATTTCAGAGGCTCAGCTTAAATAATGATGATAGCTAATGTTTATTGAGCACTCGATGTGTGTCTGGTATAATTATTACAGTGATCCTATAGACATTCTAGTTCTCATTTTACACATGAGGGGGAAAAGCAAACTTCTCAAAATCCTTAAGTGCAATTGTTACAGAGGCTGCCAAATCTCATCTCTCCTCCTACCCTCTTTCCCATCCCCAACCTCCACCCACCCACCCCCACTCAAGGTCTTCCCCTTTAGGTCAATTTCCCATTTTTCCACGGAGAGCTTTTTCTTGGCTTCTCTGTTTGGATAATGATTATATCAGTAAGGAATTGCAGTTGAGTAACAGACTGGACCTCAGTAACTTAAAAACCTTGGATTTGGGCCCTAGCCGATTAGGCTCAGTGGATAGAGCATTGACCTTCGAACTGAAAGGTCCCAGATTCAATTCTGGTCAAGGGCACATGCCCGGGTTGTGAGCTCGATCCCCAGTCGGGGACTTGCAGGAGGCAGCCGATCCATAATTCTCTCTCATCATGGATGTTTCTATCTCTCTCTCCCTCTTCCTCTCTGAAATAAATAAAAATATGTTTAAAAAAACCCT